TGTTGAGATGTTATATGGTTGAGGTATTTCTCCTAACAATAAGTGAAATCTATGTTTGTTTGTTAGAAAAAAATATATACATTTACACTTAAATTTTAATATTAGCTGTAACCTGCGGAAAGAGTGTAGTAATTATTGAATACAAAAATAAATAGTAAAATTTAGACTCAATTAAGCAATTGGCACACAGCTTTTTTAGCGACAGAAACAAACGAGTTTTCGACATCTGAAAAAGGCAGTATCAAAGTGAACTTGCCAAATTTTCGGCGAGTTTAGCGATACAATTGCCAAAATACACTCGAAACATCTTCAAATGGTTTCCCAACGGGTCATAACCCTTTCTTTTAAGAATTAGCACTTGCTGCGTAATTATCGCTATAAATTCGTTTATCTCTCTTCCTAATTTGTTATTTTGTCACTCAGGAATGCCAATAAATTATTTGCATGCCTCTATAAATTGAAAATGTACTTTCTGTAGAACAACCTCAGGTGGTACACTGTCGACCGTAGTTTTGGTTGCCCCCTGCGTTTTGAATTTTTTTTTTAATTATATAAACTTTTGAGTGATTTATATAAAAAATATAACCATTAAAAACACAAAGTAAAAACATAGAGAGAGAGATAATAGAATTAGAAAAATATCATTCCTACAAATTTAAAATATGTTGGTAAAATTTACATTTTTATAAAAGTCGGGGACAAAAGGTAGTTTATATTAACAAATTTTATTATTTTAGAGTCTGTTCCACAATCTGATAATTGACGTCTGAAGGCTTTGTTCTGGAAACTACGTTTGAGAGTTACATCGCGAAACAATTGTTTTCTCTCGTTTCTAATTTGTATTTCGACCTTGTTAATTACATGATCAGAGAGGTACATTTATGTTTACTCATATTATACCATTACATTTATATAGTTAACTGTATGTTATGTCTATATAGTTATACCTACGACAAATGATTTAATAAAAGGAAATATATTTTATATTTAACAATATTTTAAAGAACTACCGGTTTGAATATGCATGAAACAATGATTCTTTTAATTACCTAAAAAGTATCCACGACAATATATTTTATTTTATTTCATTTTTATATGTCTATCTTTTAAAGATTAATTTGCAAGAATGACGGCACACAACACCCGTCGTGGGTAACAGCAATAATCTATAAAGATGAGGAGGTTTGCAAAAAAAAATTATGCCAGAAATGACTTTTTTACGCGGTAAGGTCGCTAGCGAAGCTAGTGTGTATGTATGACGTTTAAGTTTAGTTATATAATTTTATCGACTTCTAGTCAATTTCTAGAAGAGAAACCCGCAGAATTGGCCAAGAGAAATATTCTTCTTACGATAAACTCATAAAAATCACTAATCTGACGTACTGTCGACAAAAAGGACTATTCGTCCTTTATGTTGAATAATGCAACATTTTTCATACCGATCCGTCAAATTTCCCATAGCGAATACGCTGTCTTGTGCGAAATATTAGTTTATATTCCCATCCCATGCGATAGTCCCTTTAGTGAATAGAGAAACCGTTTTAAAAGATTATATAAGATACGAAATTGTTCATATTCCGTTTTGTCTTAAATTTATTCATATTAAAATCGTGTTAGTCTACAAGACAAATGTCTATCTATAACGCGTTTCAATCCGTTAAGGACTTTAAAACGACAAATAAGCGTACTTTCTGTTACCGATAAAAGTTGGAGATAGTAGTCATTGTGTATTGTATATTTAATAATATTAGTCTTTGACATTCTACTTTCCTATCCTTCTAATAGAATAAATAACATTAAAGACAAATTGAGAGTTTTAATAAACGGTTTAAATCACGAATTTATATTAGCTTACTTTGGGACTTATTCTAACTACGTGTCCCTGTCCGAATGCTGCAACGTATCGCTAGGCCGAAGTGCAAATAAGTTGTTAATAATTTAACTAATATATTTGGAGTTTTAAACCGTTATAAATGTTTTATTTAAATGAGTAATTAATTTTAAAGGTTCAGGTTGTTTGTATTCTTTCTTTCATTGAAAGTTATTCGAATCCCCTTATAGCGAGATCCTTAACTTATGTTCTTGTATCTATAAATTTCATTAGTACAGCCTTCTCTTCATTATTATTAAATTATTCTCATTGTTTTCGTGGTACACCAAAAAAGGCCCGCGACTACATAACTTAATCCCGGCGGTTATCCATCAATGTAAATCTTTGGAATTATTTCGGTACATTTACACCCAGGGATCATTTTACAAAGTAGGAAGTTACATGTTGCTGTGAAAACGGTACTTAACTTTTGTTATAACAACATCAAAGACGCGAAAAGATAATATACTGATATGAAAGTTGATAATTTATAACTCTACTACAATGCGAGATATGCGAGAATACGCATGTGCCTAGCTGAAGAACAATAGGAGGATATATGTATATGTATAAAAGTGGAATCCCGTTTCCCCCCGTGGGGCATGGGGCGAACAAATTTCTGTGTCTGTTTACTGATCGGTTTTATTTACAGTCAGTAGTTGATTAGAAATCTGGGCCCTGCCCGATCGAAACATATCATTGTTTGCCGGAGATTCGAAGCCAGGACCTTTCGCGCTTAACACAATGCTATTTAATACGTTTAACCATTTAGCTATAGAGGCGGTCTGAATATATATGTATAGTTTATATGTACTGTGTACAGAACCCAGATACTAAAAAGCGACTCGACGTAACTTTTCAATCAAGCGTGGGTAAAAATACGACTTTATAAGAAACTGATTTTTTACATCAACTCTTTCAGATTAAGTTATTAACATTTAAATAGCTTCATTTGTTTTTCATGCGTGCGTATTTGTGGATTTCTTTATTGCAGCGCGCCTAAATCGGCTAGAGATATGGTAATACGTTTTATTGAATTCGTGCTCAAGAATCGAAGGCTTCATTCCTTTGGAAATTTATATTTCTAGTATGTATCACACACTAGCCGTGTCAGCGACTTCGTCTGCGTAGAAAAGTTATTTTGAGCATTAAGATTTGTTTTTCAAACCGCCTTTTTATCTTTATAAATTTAAGTTCTTAGCTGTCACGTTCCGTCGTTCTTACAAGTTAACCTTAAACGATAGATATTTAGTGTCGCGGACATTTTTGTAGATCATTTAAAGAGGAATAATTTTTTATATGTATTTTTAACCATCTTTGTAGCGTACGCATTGGAAACTCACAATTATGAATAATTTTCTTATGTTTTTTTGCATTTCCTCGCTGTTTCTTTGCTCCTATCAGTTACATTGCAATGTGTATAGCCTTCCTTGATAAATGTTCTAACCAACACAAAAATATTTTTTTTTAATTCGAACCAGTAGCTAGTGCCTGAGATTAGCGCGTTCAAACAAACTCTTCAGCTTTATATATAACTATACAGATATGCCTATACTATTGTTTTTCAGCTATGAAATATGATAAATAGTCAATGAAGGGAACACAAGACTTCCAAACACAGAACCTTCCCTTGTTCCGGGTTATGAACTCTTGACCTCCTGTTGGAGTCGAGCGTAGTAACCACTACACCAACGAGTCAATGCTTGCGAAAAAATTAATTAGTTACCTCCTTGATGTTTTTGTTATTACTTAAACAAAACCATTATCCCGGAAGGTTTAAAATGATGTAAAGTTATCTTAAATTTTATTGGAGGGAACCTAATTATTGCCACCCATTCAAATTGAATCGTTGACCCGAAAGCACCTATCACATAAATTGGCAGATAATTAATCTTATCAATTTCATTAGGGACGAAATCCAGTTATCTCAAATCGATGTTGGTTATATCCTGGCCGACAAAGTAACGAGTTCTTTTAAGTCATTTAAAACAATTCACTGGAGTAAATCTATTATTAGCTAAAGTATGTATGGAGAAAACAAAAACTCATCGTGTATTCTTAATACAATAAAAAAATATAAAACAAGTGAATTACGAATTGCTATGTTCACTGGAGACACACCCAGTTTCCCACCGTGATCACGGCAGATTCAAAGCATCCGAAACGTCGGGCCGCATTTTTCAAATGCGAAAATCACAATTCGGGTTTTAAACAGTTAATTGTTTTATTTAAATGTGTACCTCGCGTAAACTATACGCAATTAAACTAGAAAAGGGATAAGCCCCTAATTTTTTATAACATTTCAACGTGCGACAGCGCCGGTTTTTCGTAGGCGTTATGTGCATTTGACAACAAAATTTTACATAGATATACAATATAGCAAAAGCTAAAAGATCTACCGACAATAGATATAGTTTTTGACATTGAATATTCATTGAATTGTAGGCTTATTATAAATAATATAAATAAGCATAATGCAGACACTTTTGAATGTTTGTTTTACTTGTCGATTCTAATTACAGGTTGGTCAGACTTCTGATTCCTATCCAATACTAGGTATACAATTCAAATTCACGTTTAACCAAACGATGAAGAATGCGCTTACACATTGAAACGCATTTGCGGTGTAAAACAAGAAAAGTTGTTATAGTGATTATTGACATTTTTAGTACAGCATCTTCCCTAGATCTTTTGTGTAAAGTTTTTTCTTAAGTCACTGTTGCGGCCCAATAGCGTTTTGAAACATGAATAAATAATCTTCTATAAGCGAAGCCTTTGAATTTGTGAATTATTGCTTGAGCCTTGGCCTTATTGTTTGTTCAGAAGTTTGTATAACTTTGCATCTTCTATCAGCTCATTGTATTTATTTAAAATTACAGTTTTCTACATAAGTACAATATTTATTACACACGATTCTAATAATTATGTCTTATTTTCCCGAACAATAGGTTCATATGTGCACAGTACTTTGTTTTTCATTGTAAAATAAATGAACGACGATTAAAAAAGCGACGTTACACGAAACATTACTCGATTCTCGAAAACGACCTTTTTAATACCAGGCAATATTAAAATCCCGAATTTATGTACATTTATCCCTAGGATTAAAATTACTCTAGCTACACATTTGTCACTTACCGTAGGTGTAAAGTGGTGCAGCACGATATTTGATAGCAGCAGTGCACGCTATCGCCCCAGTTCCACCGCCGAGCTGCAGTCCATGAGAGAGTATCTGAACTATCGTCCCAACGACAGTAATTGTCCAGCCCCATCCACCTTCTGGGTAATACCGTCTGGCCAAAGTAAGGGCTGCACGGGCCCGTAGAGCCGCCGCCGTTTCCGCTCCTACCGTAGCACCAGCACTCGCACACCTAATACACCACACATATTAAAGCGAAATACCTAAGCATCAAAGAGATATAAGAACACACCACTAACCGACGGAACTGGGTAACTTCGCGAGTAACCTCGTAACCGACACTTTTCGAGCGTCCGCGCTCCGCGTAATTCTGTCTGTGCGTTGTCCGATTCGCGACACCGCACGTGCACAAGAAGTCTGAACGATTCGATTTGGTCTTAGACACGCAGCGCCCCTGGCAGTCGCAATCCGGGGTCCTCCAGGAGAGAAGGCGTTCCAATAGGGTCCGTCTTCGTGCCGTGCTCGCGCGTCTGTTATTCGGACATTTGCCCACGTCCAGGGGGAAGGATGAACTCCTGTCGACATCTTGACACGCAATCGATATATGCTTGTTCTCATAGGTGATTTTCTTCTGTCGTTTGCGACTGTTCTGATATCTATCTTTAGTCTCGACTTCCTCTCTTGAGAAATCATTTTTTGGATGGCCATTTTTTATTTTCGTGACGTCGCTGTGAAAGGACTTCCAAGTAGCTATAACTTCATCCCGTACGAGCGTGCCATTGAAATTTGGGACAGTATTCGAGTCCGATATTTTATGGGAGAAGGGTCGAAAATTGTCGGGGCTTGGGACAGGCGCCTCCCGCAGTCTCGTGGGCAAGCTGTCACACCGACGGAGAGTCATTGTCGCTTGTATTAGGTGAACACATTTTTAAACGTAGATTAGTGACTTGCAGGTCGTTCACATCATCCCTCTATAGATATCTGAAACAAAACACTATATTAGATAAAAACTATAATCCGATTTTGTTCAAACGAACCTGAGGTAAAAATAGATCGTATTTTTTAGGTCTCCTTAAGCTTTGTCGTCGTAAACATATTTAGAAAATTGGTTTAGCCTTTCTCAACCGGGCCGTGATTACTTATCTTTTGATGACTCATTTAATATAATTATAAATCATAACTCTTTATTTTGAGTTCGTCGTTGTCGGGTAAAAAATGCAGATTGCAGAATCTACTTCATCACATAACTCTTGAATACAAAATGAATATTGTAATGAGTTAATGATTCATTTATGCAATAAAGGAGTACGTATAATAGCAAATTTTCAATAAACAGTATTTCATATAACTAATACCGTATACCATAATTAATACAATGTTAAGTTACATTTCCGTCCTAAAATATATTCCACAGAACAGTGGTATTAATATAAAATGAATAATTCATATAACAGTGGTATACTCAATGCTGCTTATGTAAATGTATATTGAGGAAAATGTGATCAATTATGTGTCGGTCTTGCAGATCCCTGGAATTTGGATAGAAAATATTCGCATAAGGTAGACTGATTATAATATTATGTTGGAAGACATTCTGTAGTTTGATGTATAACAGAGCGGATAGAATCAAATTTCAGCTCGTACACGGAAAAATTATAATATGAATCTATGCATTTCCTAACATTGTGATAGGCTGGGCTTGGAGTCCAAATCCTAGAAATACAATAGATTTTGTCAGGTAGAGTTCAGGCGTCGGATCAATTTTCCTGCAACTAAGATGGGTCAGTGAAAAGTTTATCTTCCCAAAGCCTCACATAAGTTAAAGAAAACACGAAATAAAATTATACAGGATGTTTTTCAAATGTAGGAAATATTAGTATATTTAAATATTACAGACATTTATGAAGCTTACTTAAATGTAACTCGCGTTTAACGAACAATATTTAATTTTCATTATAATCTAACCAAAATGTGTTTATTGAAATGTACTTGTACTTATGTATAAATATTATAATTATATGTGAAGAAATCTCAGAATGGGCTCTAAAAGATTACCTCTAAAGCCTTTGAAAATCTTTTAATGTGTACGCGTGTATTTAATGAAGACGATCTAAGCCTATATTTATTTGTAATAATATTTATTGAACTTATAAGTTGTTATAAATACATCGCCTAGATCTATAGATGGAACATAAACCGAAACATATCTGCAACATTCAAACCTCAAACAAAGATGGCAACCCTGCTTAAGGGATATTTTTAGAAAAGTATTAAAACTTGCACCGGCGATGCGAATAACAGATTGTGAAAACATCAATTCCAAGATGGATAAATGGAAAAGTGGCGAATGAATGAAGCTATATTTACACTCGGGTCGAAAATTCTCGAAGTTTTCAGACGTCTTCCCATTCATAGTAAGTAATTACGTGCGCAGATTCTTCTCTTACCTCATTACGTCACAGACAATTGAATCTCTAGTCATTTCTGTTATCGCGATGATCCTTGGGTATACTTTTTTTCTCTATCTAATCGCTTTCTATTAATGTTTATTTATATTACGTCTCGACAGTGCCTTTGTTTCTTCGTTGAGTGGGTTGTCCACATCATTCGGATTCAAAGGATAAAGTAGGCTTTAATATGAGGATTACAAACAGTTTCTGGTTTTTAATTTTTATGTTAGAGGAGAACTAACAAGCACGGGGTTGGGTGGGATGGTGAGTGCAATATACCAACCATATAACTATTCTTACATATATTTTGAAACCGAAACACCGAACTTGATGGCTGCTTATGTATGATAGTTGTGAACCCGAAATTCATATTCCTCCCCATTTAATATAATCTGGTTATCAGTTATTTATTTTAATTGTAATAAATACCAATAATGATACAATTCCCACAAGATGTATCTACTTCAAATGTCTTTTTTTATTAATACTTTATAGCACAGTATAAATAAACTAATAATAATACAGACGAGACTTATCTCCCACTCGTGTCATAAAATTTTAAATTTTTCTAGTATAGTTCTTATGAACATGTAATGTAATACTAACATCTCAATGGATTTTTATACCTATGAATATTTAAATAAAACGCTTTAACAGTTTAAAACGCGATATATTAGTTAAACTTATTGAAAATTATTTTTAACTTCGGCCCGACGTTTCGGATGCTTTGCAGCAGTCCTGGTCACGGAGAGACCCGAAGTTAAAACTAATGTTCGATAAGTTTCAGTATTCAGTGATCTTATTTCATTTAAAAAGATGTATTACTACTGTAATATGTAAGAAATCAAATGACAAATGACATAACAAAGATTTGTATTCTTTGTTATGTCATTGGCGATTCTATAATCGTGTTTCTTCAAAAAAGATAAAAATACCTCACTGCTATGAACGGGTATTTAAGTAATAACAGATACACCGATAAGACATGTATGGTTTTTAATTGCCTCAGATTGGATCCACACTCATTATTTAGTCTTTAGTTAAAACTCCAAATTATTTTTATTGGAACTACATTCGTGTATTTTCCCGAGAACCATCAATATAAAATGGTTTTTACCTGTGCCCTTGTTCCAAATAAAAGATTAAAATCTTTGACTTTTCTACTACTACTTCGCGTATAATATTATTATTAACACATTTATTAGGTGTCATTTTATTATATTATGCTAGAGATGATTTCCTCTTTCAAGCGGTTAGAATAAAGGAGCTGAGAAGACGTAAAAAAAAAGTATTGTCTAGTTTACGCGAGTAGTAAACATAGCCGTGATTATAGCTGTTCTAAAGCATCCGAAACGTCGGGTCTTAAAAATAAGTTAATTTATTTATTTACAGCAATTAAAACGGCAACTCATATATTTCGTGTTTTAACCGTTAAATGTGTTATATTTAAGTAAAATCAAATCCTACCTTTTATAGTACAGTTTCATTATTTTATTTACAGGCAGTGATTGACGATTTGTGTTTTTTTTAACCAAGACTTTATTGCGACCACTAACACTGAATGCAAAACAAAAGAAAACATTTTTCGAGTTACCCACAGCGGTTAATAAGGTAGTAAATACTTATCCTTAATTTTTTAAAGATAGGAGGTTGTTTTCTTTTCTGGTTCAAACAAGTGAAGGCCCATACCTAAATGGCTTTTAGCACCGAAAAATAAAAAAAGGTCAAATCATCAATCATCTACTCACATTTGAGAGTTGCGTTAATGAAATCGCTGCTAATTCATTCGAGTTGTTGAAGAGCTATTTATTATGGTTGGAAAACGGCCTGCTTCCCGCAGCTACTGTCCGTCATTCATTTTTATACTTATTCAAATGGAAATTTGGTCCTTGGGAAAAGCAATTAGAAATAATAGAATGGACGATTCTTAAGCTTTGTTATAGTTGGCTACATAGACAAATGAATACTAGATAATACATAATGTAGACCTAACCAGTAGGCGGCAGATCAGACCCCCCCCCCCCCCCCCCCCCCCCCCCCCCCCCCCCCCCCCCCCCCCCCCCCCCCCCCCCCCCTTTTTTCCCCCAGTAAAATGTATGTCTAGAATTCTATTAAAGACAGTTTTTGACTGCCTCATTGGTGTAGTGATAGCAATGTCGATATCCTAATAATCAATAGGTCTTGGGTTTGGTTCCTATCGGATCCAACATTTTTCTAATCAATTTATCATATTTCTGAAACATCGTTCGTTCGTGTGGACATCTGGATATTAAATGGGATAAAAATATCGAAATTCCGTCCGGGTCCATCGTCCACAGATGAAAAAGCCGTAGTTTTTTTTTCAAGTCCATTAAAGTTGTTCGACCTGAGCACAAGAAGTGAATCAGCCCCTTGCGATTCAGACATAGGCGATTAGTTAAACGAATTCCATCTATTTGTGTCATGCTTCAGATAGGTTAAATAGGACACCAACACATAATGAAATCGACTTAAGTATATACGTGTATTAATAGGATAAAAATACGTACTTATCTGAAGTACTTCAAGTATCCCAAGGACTGCGATGTAAGTAAAATGTATTCTGTAAAGTTTAGTGTAATAATAGTTCAAACAAGATACGCTTACATTCAAATAAACCCCAATATACTGCGAATGTCACTAATCATTGAGAAGCACAACGCATTACTCTTGTGAAGACCTTCATTTATTTGATTTAGACTTTAACGCAATCCTAAAATACTCAGGTAACTAAGTATTTAAAATACTCAGGTAACTAATATATTTCACGTTTTAAACCGTAAATACTCAGGTGCTTACATAAAATACCAAACCAATACATCAGAACAATATAGTTCACCATATCATTGTTTTTCAGGTTGTTCGGCCGACGTTTCGCCATCACGAGCGGTCGGCATCATCAGATGTTGTTTGCTCTTAGATTTTAAAACTCCCGAAAAGCAATGATATGCTGAACGATGGCCGTTAAAGCCTTAAAAAATTTAATACAGTTTACCATTTGATAACTTTGGGGATCCAAATAATATTGTTACGAAATAAACTATGTATTCGTAATTTTTCCTCATTAATATGTATTTTCTGTGGTGTATTGTATAAATAATGAAGCTATAATAAATAAAATAAACAAATAAAGCAAAAATATGTAAATGTATCTAAAATTACAATTTCTAAAATAAGCTTTTTTACCTATTTCCTGCCAAGCTTTCGACGTAACCTATGGTAAAGATCGTCTTTGAAAGAATCACGTTTTGAATAGACTTTAATATATGTATTTTAATTTATTTTTAGATTTCAAAAGGGCTCCACAAATAGACTGAAACATTTATCACAGATAGGCAAATTTGTATTAGAATTAGTTATTAGTTGCAGGCGTCGGGTGTTGAAAGAGAAGTCTTTTCGCAAACTCATTAGCATGCCCAACAACTGTCGAAAT